ATGTTCTTTTATTGTGATGAAAACAAAATGAAAATGCTTCTTAACAAGTATACACAAATTTAAAAGATAGTTGCCGTTTTTCTTATGACAATTAGATATAAATATCATACATTTATAAATTTACACTGTAAACTCTATTTATTATATATACCAGCTAGAAAAATATCACATTAAATACTATTATCGCATATCACCAAGTCCAAATGAACAACTACACCATTTTGAATTTCTTGATTTATTTTTTCAGCAAAAACTGAATCTATTTCAGATATTTGAGCAAGAAAGTTTTGTTTTTGGTCAGCAGCCCAATGTATAAACTATTCTTTGAATAATTTCCCCTAAAAAATAACTATGGTAAGACATTCATAATATACACAATAAATCAATCATCCTATAAAGTAAGATAAACAATCTATAGTTATGCTATGTAATATTTGCTGCATTGAATCTGCATATGTAAAGTAAAAATATCCTTTTTTTTCCTTTTCTTCCCTTTGCATATTCTTATATCTGTTGAACCAAAATACTTGACAACATTCCAGTCGAGTATACAAATAAAAACTTAAAACTTAATATTTAATAGTAACAATAATATACCTGATTATAAAAATGAAATCTATAAAATGTTTTAGTTAATTTTACTATATAATTGTAGCTAACCCATATTTACATACCAATATTTGTACTTACTTCAAGTTGATTTGCTTCAAGAATTTATATAATAGTGAACGACACATATTTTGGAAGATCTGAGCGGTTGTCAATTTCACTTAAAATTTTACCTAAAGTGAGCATTTCATTCTTGAAAAAGAAGTTGTGTACTATCTGTCGTATAGATGTTTTAACTCTTTCATCCTATGTTGCAAGAATATAAGGTCGACCTTCAATATTTTTAGGACATTTTACTGCTCCAGTCTGCTTATATTCTTTAATTGTTCTAAATTCTATTCTTGTAAATAGTTCGCAAAAAATTCGCAATACCTAAAATTAGCACATTACTTTAGTAAGTCTTGATTTTAATAATAACTATTCTGTAAAACTAACCTGCTGCCTGTTTTATTTTTACTACCGTGGCTGTTATTTTTATTCCAGAATTATCAATTTTCATGTTTGTACATGTTTATAGTACATTATTTCTCATTTGATGATAAATGATCCAAATCTACTCGGCGTTTTTAAGGTGGAGAAGAATAATTACCATTAGCACTTGGCATTGAATCCATATTGTTATCTTAATAACACAAATATGTCGCTAAATAGTTCTGAAAAGAACTGTTTTTTATATAAATGCAAACGAAAAATCTAAAGATGTAAGAAATAACACAGAAAATACAGAAAATTGTCGATATAAATTTTGAATTTTAAAATTTCACAAATGTCATTAGTGTCAATATGTCATAATTTAGTGGAGTAAACTTGCCTGCGCTTCGACCAATTAAAAACAAACATTATGGCGCGGAAAATTTGAATTACTCCTCCTGGTTTAAAAACAGACCATAACAATAATTGGTAATATACATTTATTTTATCGTAATCACAACGTTGCAGTTGTGAATGGTAATTTTCGGCTAATGATATTACGTTTTTTGCTAGTGTTTAATGTATAACTGCATTAAATGTTTGCCACAAACTTGACAACAGCCTGATCAGAAATAATCTGCCTATATAAAAGGCTAGGACGACAACTCACATTGTTTGTCCGGTAGGGTAACTACACTACCTAAGAAAGAAATCTGAAATACTAACATCTTTTAAAAAATTGTTGATCCTAAAATTTTGGCCGAGAATTTGATGATAGATAAAAAAAATAATACAAAACTAGATCTTTTACAACAAATGAATTTCGAAACTAGAATTACGTGGATTTTTGTATATAGATCGATTTCATAAGACGACTTTATGCAGAAGTTCAGCGATTCTCCAAAAATGACATTTGTTATGAAAGTTGTAGAACAGACTAAAATATAATTTGGTTGTCATACTAGTCGTAAATACAAGGAAGCCAGAAAAGATTCAGTGGAGTGGCTGTAGATGGCAATTGATTGGTTCCCCATCGCATGGCCGCGGGAAAATTACTAGTTTAGGATAGGATACCGCCCTAGTTTGAAAAAGATTTTACAGTGTACTATGACTATGAACAGAGTAAGAAGCTTTATACTATGTTTTTATGTATTTTAAAAATTTAAATAATATTTTTAAAATAAAATAGATTAGTTTTTATTATTTATTTATTATTTATATTTTAAACAAGTTGTATTATATTAAAATGATTTAATAAATTATTATGCTTTTTCCTAACGCCATCTTTTAACGTTTTAACAAAGCATACGTTATTTACTTCTGACAGACCTGTCAAAGTCAAATGAAATATTAAATTCATAATAAAATGGAATTAAATATCATTTGATAGTAAATTTAATTATGGTATCAAGTAAATAAGATGTTTAAAAATAAGAATTGTATTTATATGAAATTGTTTTTTAACGAAAAATGTCATAAAATTTTAAACATATGTTTCAATATTTTTATTAATTGAATGACATTTGGGGGAAGGGTGGGCATAGTGGCCTCATCAAAAGTGACAATCTCCCACCTAAAATAATCTGAGCAAATTTATAATATAAAAACGATTTAGATAACAAAATTGGAAATTTTAAAATATGTATTTCTACAGGTACATAGTTGTTACATTCATAACTAAAATCTAGAGAATATATAACTTGTACTCTCACTAATAAGAAAGAAAATCATATTTATTGACGACTTTGACATGAACCATCGAAGTTTGTTTATTTTGTTGTAGTAGCATATTATGGAGATTGTTAACTTTGCATCAGATATCTAAAGTAATATATATTTTCATTGAAAAATAATAGTATTGTATGTTGTTTACAAAACTATTGTGCATTTCAAACAACATAATAGCGTGTGTTTTATTTGAATTCTTACGGATTAAATCTGGTTTAGAGGTTTTCTCACCTGATACAAATATATTTTAGCAAGTAATGTAGATTAGTAATTATATTCCAAGATCACTTACAGTACTATGTATTTACATGATACAATAAATTAACATTACTGTATACGATTATTGTAGCTTTATTTAAGGTGAAAACGCCGTGTTACTTTCATATTTTAATTCTATGTAACATGTAATACGAAAAACGTTTTTTTTTTCAAGTATAGTGATGGTGTCAAAATATCAGAGAAAGAGTCATCAGCTGTCATAGGACCCCGCAGCGATGCAAAGTGCAATCGATGGGAAGGAAAGAAAGAAGACGGAATGGAATGCCTTATCAAAAGGCTGCTAAAACTTACAATGTATATAGGAACACACTAAAACGTTACGTACTAAATAAAAATCAAGACGTCACTCACAATAAAAAAGTATGAGACCATTATTGAGCTGTTTTCAACGAAGAATAAGAACAGCAGTTGGTAAATTATCTGTTGGAAATATAGGTACGTTTTTTGTTTTGGAATTTCTGTAGCATATTTGCGCAGCCTTGCTTACCAACTGGCTGAACGGAATAACATTCCCCATCATGGACGTATACGTCCATGTTCCCCATGGTTTCAATAAAGAAACGAAATTAGCAGGAAAAGATTGGGTAACTGGGTTAAGAAAGCGCCATCCTGAACTTGTGTCAAGAAACCTGAGGCATCTTCAGCAGCAAGGACGCAAGCATTTAACAAAAGGAATGTAACCAAGTTTTTTGACATTTTGGAGGATGTTCAAAAACATCACTTATATCCTCCTCATAGGGTTTACAATGTTGATCAAACTTTTTCTTATGACTGTCCATTCAAAGTCTTCAAAAGTTTTTGCTCCAAAAGGGCGACGGCAAGTCGGATCTCTTATATCTGCAGAGGGAGAGAGAGAGAGAGAGAGAGAGAGAGAGAGAGAGGGAGAGAAAGAGAGAGGTGTTCTCAGTACATTTGTAATTTCTATGTCAGCTGGGGGAGTTTTTATTTCTCCTTTTATCATCTTCCCTATACAGTGGATGAAAGTGGAACTACAAAACGGCGCTCCAACGAGAACAGCTTTTGTTTGTCATCCTTAAGGGTGGATGCAAACTGAGATTCTTAGACAATGGTTTGACCATTTCTTGAAGTTTGCGAAGACGTCCGAAGACGACCCAATTTTTCATATTTGATGGCTATTCCACCCATTCAAAAAATCTAGATTTCATTGAAAGGGTTAGATAAAATCACACAACCTTTTTTTGCATCCCCCCCCCACTGTAGTCATACGTTGCAGCTACTCGATGTTTATTTCATGGAGCCCTTCATAATACTTATTATGTCTAAGCGATCGATAGATTCTTGCGAAATAATCCATCCTGGTAGATAAGTGACACAGTATCAGGTATCTAAATTTCTTGTAGAGGCATTTACATTTGCAGCTACTTCAACTATTGCGGTAAAAGGGTTTGGAAAATGTGGCATAGTTCCTATAAATAGACAGAAGTTTACTGACGCGGATTTTGCTGCAGCCATGACCACAGAAATTTCCGTGCAAGATTCTATCTCTCTTCAAGTAGCTGAAAATTAAGAACTGGGTGTTGAATACCAAGAGAAAACTTCTGCTGTGGTGCCAAGAAAAGACTTTGCAGATTCACAAAAAAATATTCCTCGACGTCAACTGACTCCACTTTCAAGTAAAGAGAACCCATCTTCTGGAGAGATAGTTGTCCGACCAGCAACTTATGTATCCAACGCTCCAGTTCTTATGTTTTTAAATGATCACAGACAAAATGTCACTGTAGAATCTAAAGATCCAAACTGTACATTCGTTCTAATCTCTAAAGACTCGTTAAAGTTAAGTACTTCAACATTCCAGCCCAGTACACTGCCTTATTTTAGTACCTCATGTGATTTAATCAGCAAGTCCAAAGGCTATGGGTACATTACTTTTGCTGTAAGACCACAGGATATTGTTCCAATCCTCAAAGCAAATATTATCAAACGAGAAAATAAGCGAAAAAAAAAGGAACAAAATGAAACTAGTAGCCGCAAAAGCAGAAAAGGAAAAGCTTAAGAAAATACAGCTGGAACTGAAAAAAGGAAAGCAGAGTAACAAGAGGAATGAAGGAAGCAAAGAGAAATTTAAAGGAAACAGAAATCGAAATCAAAATCAACAAAGCGTGCTTTATCTAATGACACGAACAGTGACAGTGAGTGATATTGATTGTCTTTTCTGCGGGGATTTTGATTCCAAGTTAAGGGAAAATGAAGGATGGATAAAGTGTTCGGGCTGTTTACGATGGGCACATGAAGCTTGTGTTGGGTGTGAAGAAGGCAATGACTTTATTTGTGACGTTTATAAATAAACTCGTGCGAAAACTTTATTTTTCTACGATGGAAATAATGTTTTTATTTTGAACATTCACTTTCATTTAGTATACCAATTAAAGTATTTTACATTGGAAAAAGTGCCCCACCCCGCAGGGCAAAGTGGCCAAAGGCGCCAAATTTAAATTTTCTGACACTTATTAACAGTAACTATAAAATATTTTTCAGAATGAGATTTAGATGAAAAAGTTTTAATTAAATATTAACGATAAGAGTCCAAAATGTAACACAATTGTTAAAAAACTAATATAAATAAGATTTCATGTGACAGTTGGGACAAACAATAACTTAACCCAACAAGGAAATAGACTATTTTTCCTTGTTTAATGTGGCCTCTCAAAATGGCACTTCCCGTCTAACAATATTTTTACCCCCACTACCTTTACATTCCCTCTTCAGTCTTTTTGCTCGATGGTATGGCCACTTTGCCTACCTTTTCCCTAGGACTTTTAAATTAAATTTTGAAAATCGTTGCGATTCGAATCTTTTATTGGCAGATATTCTTTTAATTTTTTACTGTTCATTTAATGTCTGTATTTTGTTAGGTATTTTTTTCACGCAGTTTTTAATTTGAACGTGCTTAGAATAAATATATGATGACTAGAAACGAATTGACCGAGAGTAATGAATCGATGTGAAGAACCGCTATTTCGTGACACTACTCGTGACGCCTTCTCCTAGCGTTAATTCCGTGACGCTCGCCTCATCATTTTACTATAGAGAAAAAATTAATACAACGCCAGTATAGAAGCTTTGCTTCAATAGTTTTTTTTATTTTTTTTACTTAGTACTTTGCAAGTGAAAGTAGTTGGGATCATCATCTCAAAAATTATGGCATGGATCTATATCATCATCAATATGTTTGGAAAAATAAAAAATAAATAGTGTTTAGATTGTTGCAAATATATCTTTGTTCATATAAGCTTTTGGATTAAAAAAATTGCTTTTCGATTTTCAAAGTATAAATAGAAATCTCAAAATAAACGTATTTTAACTGAAATTGTGATTTATTTTCATCAAAAACAGTAAATAAGATAATAACTATTAATAATGTCTAAAGAACTGAAATCGCCAAATAATCAGGAATCTATTTAATTCCAGCCTATATTTCAATATCTTCTTCAATACGGTTCTGTTCGGTATTGTAAAATATGTAGGTTAAATCAACTCTGGTAAAGATTATGGTATGACAGGCTGACTGGAAGGGTTGGAAGTGACAGTGACATTACTGATTTGACAACTTAAGATACTTGAGAATATGCAGGAGCTTTATGTTACAATTTGTACTTCAGAGAAATAAGTTGTCTTTCACTTTAAAAAATCGGTACATAACTATCGCGGTCTGACAAACAATTTCTATCTATTTAAAGAAAAGAAAATAATTAGTGTTGCCAAAATTAATTAATGTTTCATATAAACAAAATTGTGTTTGTATTTTCAGTGATATGAGTATGAAAGTTGCAATATGTCAATGTCTTTTTCGGTAAACCAACAAAACAAATTGAAGTACATGAAATAAACATTATCCGAAATTGAATAAACAGTGTCACCATGCCAATGTTCCCGTTCGAAAGACTTCCTTTACCCAATTTAAAAATATACTCTTCTGTAAGTGTAGTGGCCCTTTCAGCCTGCATTTATTATGCTGTCCAGATTGTTAAAGAACCTTCCTGGAATTATACTCCAACGGTAGAGAAAAAAGAAAATGAACCCTGGAATGTTACTAATCCAGATCCTCGAACTGCGGGACAGTTTGTCTCTGATGTTTTTACTGTTATGATAAGAGAACCAGTATGTGTTTGGGTAAGTCTTTTGACATCAATCCACTACTGTTTTCATATTTTCCAATTTTCAAGGATTATATTACATATGTTACAACTAGATATCTTTATGTGTACATACCTTCTTTTCTATTAAAAAAAATGTAAAGGGTTGTTCTATTCACTTTAAATAACAGGGATGTTTGGGCAGGTTGTAGTTAAATGCGAGTAGATATGTTATTTTAAACTGTTATAATCAAAGTATATGAAGACATACTTCAAATCTGCATTTTTCTTTGATAGTTTTAATTTACCAAATTTAAATTCTTTATTTTGATATACCTTAACTGTAACTAAGGATTGTAATAGAAAAAAATTGTGTACATGCGTTTTAGGTAAATCAGGAAACGAAAGAACTCCTAATGTAAAGAAAAACTAATTAGATTACCTAAAATTATATAAATTTTGTTTATATTAAGTAATATGCAAATAAGAATCAGTTAACAAGTATAAATATATGTAGGAATCAACTGATTGTCATCAATAAGTATTACAATTTTTACTGATACATAAGTATGATTAATGTTTATCACAATGTAGATTATTATGAGATGAGTTTCATATATGAATTAGGGAAAACCCAGGGTGGTTTTCAAGTTCAAAATCCATAGAAGTTTGATATTTAAATGTATTTGGTCATTAGTTATTGGTGTTACTCATATTAATGCAATTCTTGCACAATTTATCTATATTTATTTATCAAATTTTTCTATTTGATTTTTAAATTATTAGAAATATACAATAGTATACATATGGATTAAAATTGAAATTTGGATCTTCAAAGAAAAATTAATGAAGTTTATTTATATTAAAAGGCAGTGTCATCTAGCATTTAAGTGTGAGAGACACAAAAACTAATCCAAATTTGTTTCATATTAATTTGAAAATTTGATGCCATCTTAATAACAATCCTTATGTGGTATATGATGTATTTGGAGAATCCAAAGATCTTTCATGGTAGTTATCTTCTTATATTTATATAAAATAATAAAAAAATCAGTTTAAAAACATAATAAACTGTAAAATTGTATAGAGCAGTAAATGTTTAAATAACCTTTTCATTTTTATTAAAATAATTTATTTTATTGTAGATAGTTTCAGTTGATTAACAATATAGCTATAACACTCCATAAATATTGCTTAAATTGTATAAAGCAGTAAATGTTTAAATATACCTTTTATTTTTATTGAAATCGTTTATTTCATTGTAGATAGTTTTGGTTGATTAACAATATAGCTATAACACTGCATAAATATTGTTCACTGAAACAAAGATAGTTAATTTGTGGCACCAATAATTTCCTTTAAATATTGATTCAAGTACGTCATTTCTGATTCCATCTTAAGTATACAATGTAGGATAAAAAGTAGCTTCATAAAACATTTAAAATAATGCAAGGGAAATGTTTGAAATATTTCAAATATGCATTTTATTAGTTAGGTTACTGGTTAGTAAATATTTCAAATATGCTTTTTATAAAGTGGTTAGAGTACCTGTAAATGACCACTAAAAGAAATCATGCATTTCTGTTGTCTTGCAATTATATCACATACTTGTTTGGCAGTTAGTTCTAGAATATGGCTGGAAATTCTTTTTTATTTACATTTGAGTCCCTCTATCAAACAAATCTATCAAACAAATAGATGAGTTTTTTATGTTTACTATCATCTAGTAGAAGCTACTTAGGAATTTCTATTGTGTACACAAATTTTGTAGTGCACATTTTGCATAACAAGGTTTTTTCTGGGGGCATAATATAGGAGATTATTTTAATGTGATTAGTTTTATTTCCTATAAAGATTTTCCTATTAAAAAAAATAAGAAAAATGTTATTGCATGACCCACATTTTTGTTATCAAGCAGTTCACAACAGCTTGAAACTTCTGTAAAACGTATTGGTCTTGATGGTACTAAAGCAGACATCTCCTGTTCAGAGAAAGGGTTAACCTAGCTGACCATATTTAGAGATGAAATCGCTCAGATTTCAGACTGCTTTACGTAGTGTTGAACTGATCCTCAAAAAACCATGCTCAAGGAGTGTTTACTATCAGTAGGTGAAGTATAGTAATCAAAGGAAGAAGTATCAAAGTTCATGCTTCAGGTTTATGTCAAAGTTTACAGGAAGACTTTCAAAGAGTTGGAGAAATATGTCAAGTGCAGGGGTCATTTACCAATTATAGAAAAATCCCATTTTCATTGTATGATGAGTATTGATATGATAAATCAAACACAGACACACTTTACACCTTACCATTTGTAGAAATGTTTTCATATATTATTATATTTTGTTGTCTTCTTCTTAAACATCCTTTTCATATCAGAGGTAAGTAACTTTGATAACTGCTCTTCACAATATCTGTAATGAGCTGCATTTAAATCATTATGTAATATTTTGCAGCTAGGAAATGTGTCTTCTACCTACCCCACTTCTCATTCTAAAATACTTACTTATTTTACTATTCATAATGCTCCTAAGCAGCTCATATTTGTTTTCTCTAGTTATGTGTCCCAGATATTCCAGTTTTTGTATTTTTATATTATTTATAATATTTAAATCTTTATTCAGATGTCACAACACTTCAATATTGTGTCCTCCTGATTTTAGAAGAAGTTTATTTATTCAAAAATTAGGGAAAGCCCTAATATACACAAAAGTAATCAATTTATAACATTAATACACAATACGATAAAAATAACAATTACACTTAAAATGTAGTACCTACCTACAGTTATTAAAAATGTAAAGCCATAATATATAATATAAAAACATAACTAAAAAACAACTACCTAACTATTTTTGCTTTTAATATGGTCCATAAATTTGCTTTCAAACATTTGTACAGATGAAAAACTTTTAACTGTTTGCGGAAGCTTATTCAAAAGATCAAAACCCTTAAATAATAAAAAGCTTCTTGAAGCTGTCCTTTTTGTTTTCACAATGTGAAAATTGCAATTACTTCGAGTAGGGTAATTGTGAATATGTATCACACATAAATAAACACTGTTGTAAGTTAAAAGACCCTTTGTTGAACTAAAACGCACTGCAGTTTGCTAAGCATTAGTGCTTTCACCAAGAGTGATTCTCATTCCACAATTTTGTAATTTTTTAAGCTAAGTCGATTGATTTAAATTGAAGAGAAAAATAACCCATGAGCAGAAATCAAAGTGAGGTTTAATATCTGCAATAAAAACTGTAATTTTAGTTGAATTGACAAATTTTTACATATTCTTGAAAAAAGTACAACTTTTTAAAAATATTTTTTAATATAAAATTAAAATGGTCATAAAGATAATCAATTATCAGATTGAAAACCAAGGTACTTAATTGTTGTGATGGTTTTTGTTTTTTCATTTTCAATTTGAAGAATAACAGTATTTATATCAATATTTGAGTATTTATATTTTATAGATATTAGTATGATGTAAATCGTAATGTAACAATTTGTTTCATATTTTATGTCATATACCAAATAAGTGAAAAAAAATGTTATATTATTAGTATATATAATGGGATAAATAAAAAAAACTAACTGTGACAATAAATTGAATTTAAAAAATATTATGATCAAACATACCCACTGAACCGCATTTTATAATAAAATTCACAGCTTTTGGGGCATTGCAAAAAAATCGGTGTAGAATAATTTAAAAAAAAAACAAATTCTTCCTGGTTATAATTATTGTGAGAAACATGTATTGAAAACCTTATCAAAATAACACTACTTAAATTAATGTTAAATCACCTTCCTACAGCATTAGATGCATATTCATGCTGGTCTGAGACTAATGCAGCATACTGCGTAGGAAAGTTCATATTTTTGACCCAAAATTTTTTCAGAACTATGTACATTATTTAAGTTGATTGGCACATGACTGTTGTATTGGAAACAATAGCAAGTTCTAAAATTTAGAACAGTACATCAATCATCTATAGTTAATTCAGATCTATTTTCAGATTTGAGTCTAATCAGCGGTTTATGTGAAATACCCTGTATATTTTTATCGAGACATTTTATTCCGCAGGTGTGAGCCTTTAACATTTAAATTTGGTATGAAAATAATATATCATTTAGCAGAAAATTAATGTTATTTAAAAAGTAATCCAGCATTTAAAAAAATTCCATTAAGATGAAGTGGGGTAAACCAGAATTTGCAATTTTTTTAAAACCGAATATTTTGTGTTATAAGTTACCTTGTTGTTTATTCTTTAAGCTAAGATGAAAAATTAAATATGTAGTATTATATAAATATTCTTTGAAACTTATTTTTTTGTGTGTAATGAATTAAAAAATGTTAACCAGTTTCCTAATTATTTTTACAGAATTTCCTTCATTCGCATTGATTAAATCTCTATTGTAGGTCCTACATACCTACTTTATACTATTAAGATACTGAATCCAATGTTTTAAACAAATATATCATCTGCAAAAGAAATATTTTAATATTGTTTCGGAGCTATTTTCTTGTGGCATATTAATATTTGGTATCAACTTCACAAATCTCAGTTTTACTTCTTCTGTAGCTACTCACTACTTCCGAAACTTTGCCCACTCTTTTGTCTTCTTAACATTTTCCGCAAAATTTACTTTTCATGCAACATATTTTCAAAAGTTTCATTGTGGATTGTTTGTTGAACATTGTGGCGATTGTGCAGCAGATGTTACTTGCATAAATCTTAATCTTCCTCAGCACATATAAACACATCTTCATCAGTAGAGAATTCAATAAATTTAGGCAGCTGTAAAACAGCTTCCTCCATAATTTATTTAAATGTTGACTCAGTTTGTTTTCTTCCAACATCGAATACTAAATCTTGAACAACCTCCCCAAACAACAGATAAATTGTAGCTGTTTGAAAACCATTCGCAATTATATTTATTTATTTATTTATTTATTTATTTATATACAGCATCCATTTACTTACAATTTTTACAAAGTTACATCTTAAAAACAATATATTATTAAAATAACAATCACAAGTT